TATTCATTGCTGGACAGCAAAATGGTAAAACCAGTCTTTTCCAGGCCTGGCGTCCTGTAGTCTTTGGACTATTTCCAACAGCTACATCCAAAAGTATAAAGATCTGACGTTGCTTATTTCTGCTATCGGTCAGACTTTGTTGTTGCTGCCTAGCATGTTATGCAATCATTTGCATATTGGTTTGAGAAGGAGAAATGCAGTTTTCTGTCTGCCACAATGTTATGAGGTTTGTTAAAGCAGACAAGATAGTCACATTCCAGACTATGCAGTTGTCACCATGTGCCACTCACTCTGAGCTGCACAGATGTCACAGTTGGCTTTGTGAAGTATCTGTAAATATGGATGCTTAAAAAGGGCTTCTCTTGTGAGCAGTGGTGTCAATAGGGGGTGTGGGGGTGCGGGCTGCACCAGGTGACACCCTTAAAGGGGTGTGTGACACCCCTGCTCCTCAAATAACTATCTTTTGGCAGAAATGAGCTGTGGCATCCCTCGGCTTCCCTTCAAAATGCTTTAAGAGATAGTGGAAGTGGGGTGAAGCTCAGTGGGAAGAGAAAAGAGGGGGCTCAGAATTTTTTAAAATTAAAATTTTAAATTTCATTTTTTAAAATTAAAAAATTAAAAATTATTTTTTAAATTTTCTTTTTAGCAACCTAATATTTTAACCAAATCTTCACTATGTATATGTATACGTAAATACATTCAGGTTGTGCATATGATATTGTAATTTGAAGGTATAATTTTAATACTGCTGATTGTTTATGTCACAACTATTAGCATTACATCCAGTGATATATGGGAATTACGATTTACAAATAATGTTAGTGCAAAATAGCATTACTAAGGATTTTGTATGGTGCGAAATGGGAGGAGGAGGTCGATGGGAGGGATGACACCATGAATTCCCACACTGGGTGACACCAACCCTAGGGATGCCACTGCCTATGAGAAGGACATGAAGAAGGGTGGCTGCAGCTTTACCTTTTTCTGTGTGGAATTGCTATCAAAAGATTTCAGAGGTAACGCTTTTGAAGCTGGGATAGCTGGTGATCATTTGGTCTGCTCCCCAATTACTTATTAGTCAAATATAAAGATTGCTAGGTTAATTTTTCTGTTATGGTGTTGTTCTCTTATATTTTCATTTTCATTGTTTTATAGTGTTTCTCTTTGAGTGTTTTCAATCACAAACTGCTTTTCTCACTTTTTATTTTCTGTTTAAGTTCAGAGACTAAAATGATTAAAGGCAGAATGCATCTAATCTTGGAAGCTAAGCAGGGTTAGTATTGGATGGGAAACCACCAATGAATATCAGGTTATACACTTATCCCTCCTTATTTGCAGCTTTGACTTTTGTGGATGTGATTATTCATAGATTTTAAATATGTTCTCTCTAGGAATATCTAGGACCTCCAGCACAATTCTATGGTCAACTTTAACCAAAAGTCGGCTGAAGGACCCAGAGATTCCTAGAGAGAACACCCCACTGGGCATTTGTAGCTTCCCCAGTATAATTCTATTGTCAATATCTGGCAGATGTTGACCACAGAGTTGCACTGGAGGACCTAGAGATTCCAAAAAAAAGGTGTTCTCTCAGGTAAAAACATAGTGTTTTTGTTATTGCAGTTTTTCCACATTCACGGGGGTCCTGTGCCTCTAACCCCAGTGGATGTAGAGGGAAAAGTGTATTTCGGAGGAAGTAACTGGCAAAAGCACCTTATGAAATACATGGGTTGACAGATGGCTTGATGACACATACACAAATGCACACACCAAAATCTGAACTGTTTGTAGATGTTGGCACCATATCCCTCTATTCCTCCTCTTATGAATTCAGTTTTTCATCTTGGTCCTTTCCTGGACAAGATCAAAGTACCATAAGCAGGCACTTGTTGCTCTCCTGCCTTGTATAAAAGAAGGTATTGTTTGTCTTTCAACTTCAGGCATGGTGTGAGACATTTTTATTGTCCCAAAACAATATATTGTTTGGGATTTTGAAACGTACCCCCATGGCAAAATGACATAGATTTTTGGAGACAATTTTAGTTCCAGCTATCTTAGTTCGAGTATTTTGTTGTGGTTTTAACACTGGACTATGACTCTGGGTTTGAATTCCTGCTCAGTCACAGAAACCCACTGGGTGACCCTGGAAAAGTCACAATCTTCCAGACTCAGTGGAAGACAAAGGCAAACCTACTCTGAACAAATCTTGCCAAGAAAACCCCACAACAAGTCCATCTTAGGGTCACTATAAGTCAGAAATGACTTGAAGGCACACAAGAATATTTTTCCACTGTTTTAAAAAAGGTGTAAATGGCAAATGGCTGGAATTAATGAACCCTCCTTAAAAACAAGATGGTAATGTTGTAAAATGCCTACTTTGTAGCCTTAGTTCTGAGTTTCTGCAACAAAATGTTACATAGTGGAACTAATATGCCTGTCTATTAGGGTAAGAGTTAAACAACTTTCAAATATTGTTGCAAATTTAAGACTAACTGGTTTTTATTTCTGCATGATCTTTCATGAGTATAAACTCACTTCTTCAGGTGTAGTAGCGTGATATTAAAGCCTCAGGTTATCAAGTATATTTATACAGTTGTGAGAGTGAGACAAAACGTAATAGGATTCAGAAAGATACAAATTATATCCCTTGCCCTAAATTTTCAAAGGGATGGGTGAAGTGATACAGGTCTGTCAAATCTGAGAAAAGGATCCATTTATTTTATACTAATATGCAAAGTTCATTACAGACTGCCTAAACCATTTTTTTTGTTAAAAACTAAGGAAGAAAACATTTCTTTTCTAATCTATGCTGAGTCTGATACATAGCCAGTAGCAAAGTGACTAAAACAAGGCAGAAACCTACTAATTATTCTCATTTGTAACCACAATGACATTACATTAAGGTTATTTAAAGACTTGCGGGATTTGCTTTTTACTCTATAAAGCATACTTTTCAAAGTACTTCATTGACAAATGCCTGAAAAATCTGTTCAAGAAAAATGAAGTGCACATTTAACAATCCCTCAAATGATTTATTGTCAGGCTTTCCATGTCCTGTAAAATAATCAAGGTCCTTTATCATTTAGAGACAATTGGTACCTGTGCCCTGGCAGAAAGTTTTTACATTTGCTTTTTAGAACGTAAAAATGTTACGAGATCAGTTAGTATGCTGGAAGAAACTCAAAGAGAGCAGTTGCCATTTACAGAAGAACACTTCCCAGTGAGAATGTAATAATAATAATAATAATAATAATAATAATAATAATAATAATAATAATAATAATAGCAAAATGTAGTACTTTGGTAAACCATGCCATCATTAGAATTATATTTTTTTTAAAAATGCAAACACTTATCATTTATCCAATTAATTGCCTGGGTGAAATTGCTAGTTCCCTCAGATGAACAGCTTGATGGATACCTAAGCTATTTTAGATATTTCTTCATTCTGGCCATACGCCAAGCCAGGGAAGTTACACTTTTGGATGCAGAGTCCCAGAAATCCAGTCTTCATGATCAGCATCCAGTGAGGGATCCTGGGAGTTGTAATTCAAACAATTATATTTCACAGCTCTGGTTATATGGCATATAAATTGATATGACTTTTAAAAAACAAATCTGAGTAATTCTAACTTAGTAGAACAAAATAGGATTAATTAATTAATTAATTGGTTAGCCTCACCCCCCATCTTTCTCTCAGCACAGGATCCAAGGTAGCTCACAACAAATTAAACCAAATTACAGCTTTTAAAAAACCACAAGCTATTAGTGCAAAACAAGTAAACACATAAGTTATGCTTGTTTAATAGTTTTTAAACTTTTGTTAAAACACTGTTTAACACAATTTAAAACACATTTAAAATGTAATAAAGATAAAATCATAGCTCCTCCCATTAAAAGATGTGCTACCACATTAGTTAAAAGCCAAAGGCCTGCCTAAAAATATAGGTCATTCCCTGCTAGTGGAAAGAGAGTACAGAAGGGGCCAACCAAACCCCCCAAATGGGAGGTAATTCCATAACCTGGGAGCAGTCACCTTTGAACACTCTTTGTTCTTTAGATTTATTTAACATTCAATATTCCTCCATTTTGGTACCTGGGGCTCAAGCAAAATGTTAAAAAACATTAAATTCAACACTTCTCTTCCTGAGTTCTATTGTGGCTTTTACATTTTACCAAGTCTCTTACAGAATCTTGAAGTGGATAGAGAGAAATATTTTATCATTTTGATATTTTACTAGTCTACATTTTGCTATTATCCTTACTTGCAAGCCACTCAGGGAATTCTAGCAAATTTAAAAAAAAAATGAGCTATATCTCTTCTAAACAGATACACATGTGTCCTAAGAGACTCAAAGCTGTCTTCTTCCCATTTTGCACAATGCTAAGAAGCAAAATAATCTCACAGCTAACAATGGAGTTCAATGTAATTGGCAAGAAATGGAGTTACCAGTTCATCCTGCCTTTGCCATGAACTCAAATAGGTGGCCTTATGCAAGCCACCGTCTTTCTCTAAAACCCTCTTTCACACAAGTAATACCAGAGTGAGAGATAGTTGACATGATAGCCAACATGGTCTAATGGTTTGAGAGTTGAACTAGGACTACAGGAGACCAGGATTCAAATCCCTGCTTGGCCATGGAAACCCACTGGATGATCTTAGGCAAGTCACATTCTCTCAGTCTCAGAGGAAGACAACGACAAACCCCCTCTGAACAAATCTTGCTAAGAAAACCCTGTGGTAAATTGCCTTAGGTTGGAAACAACTTGGAGGCACACAGCAGTAATAACAAAAATTGACTTTACTTGCAGTACTGCTGTATTACAACTAGATAATGCAGATGAAGTACAGTACTTTGATTACTTGAAAGCAGTATGGAAATGCAATTTGTTCTAATTTAGATTGCTTAAATATAATACAGACTGCTTACAGAGATTTTTATTACATCAAGTAATATAAAAGCCTCATAATAAATGAATAGAATATATAAATATTAGGTAGTGAGAGTGTGGTGTAGTGGTTTGAGTGCTGGACTATGACACTGGACACCAGGGTTTGAATCCCTGCTCAGCCATGGAAACCCACTGGGTGACTTTTAGAAAGTCTCTCTATAAGGCGTACAGTAAGACAATGGGAAACATGCTCTGAAGAAATCTAAGATAGGATCTCCATAAGTCATTACCAACTTGGAGAAACAGAATGACAACAACAAATTATTATTAAATGCGCCTCCTGCTTTCAGCTTTTGCTTCTAAAGTGAGGCAGACTGTTAACAGAGGATAAATGACTGTGAGTTAGCAACAAACACAAACGGTTAGAATAGGTAAAGAAGTCAAACTGTTCATCAGTGAGATGGGGAGAGGAGGATGGATGTAAGAAGCAACTGAAAAGTAGCAAACCTGAAGGACATAGAACGGAGGCATCAATCAATCAATCAATTCATTGATTATGGCCAATAGCCAAAGTGGAGGCATAAACAATGGCAAGTAGGTGCATGAGCAGAATTGGAAAAATAAGGGAATCATAGCACATGAGTTTCCATATAGCAGATAAGTGGAGAAGTAATACAAGAAAACAGAGGCAGCCCAGGAGCTCTCTAAAGACCAGGACTCAATGCACTAAATCAAACTGTCTTCTTTTACTTATTCAGCCTGTAGCCCCAGGCTTTGGCAACAGCAGAAAGTATATTAAACAACACTTCAAAAATGCAACTTGGCACTTATTTTGCAGAATGTAATGAATTGTGGGGTTTTTTGTTTGTTTGTTTGTTTTTTAAAGAAAGCTTCTGCTGAAATGAAGCACCAGTTTGAATGTCCACTGTCAGCTCTACCATCTGTGCCTCATCTGCCTCGTCTCGATTAATGTGTGCTTTGGGAGTCAGGCAGAATTATCAGCATGGTTTTAAAACACTCTGCAAACGAGTTACCAAATTTTAAATGAAAAAAGTATGAATGAATACGTCCCAGAGCATACTACTAATGTACATCGAATTGTTGCTCCCTTGGCCAATGAGTAGTTATAGCTTAAGAGTCAAGTAATTTATTGACTCTGAGGACAACTGATTGGCTAAAGCAATACAAGGGAACCACTCTAGTATTAAGTACTATAACATAGAAAACAGACAGCTTTTAAACTACAATAGCCTTCTCATCCAAGAAAAGCAGCATGAATGGAGAACATACTTTGCTTGACCTAGGATGCAGCAGGTTTTACACAATTCATCCAGTGGAGTTAGAAAGTTGCTTTGAGATTTGTGCAATAAGTAGAACAGCAGAAGTACTGCACACTGGGATAAAAAGTATCATGTCTGTCTGTATTCACCTGGGGTGGGGGAGAGATAATAAAACAACATTACTCACTTCTTGGAAGGATTCCTATTTTCTTTTTGAAGCACACAGCTCTCCCTCTGCACAGTGGGATATTCACTCTCCTCCAGTCAAGAGGAATGTTACAAGCACTATCTGCAGTCATGTCATCATACTTCAGCTAATAAAAAGGAAGATAACTAGCAAATACTTTGGCTTTTATGTAACAGAATAAGAGAGAGATAGAGCAGGCAAGCAAGCAATGATAAAAATAGGCTAATCAAAACCCAAGTATGAGACAGACATGGACACTTAGCAGGATATGGAACATCAGTGAACAGAAACGGGACCTTGATTAAAACTTTACCTACTTGGGCTCATACTAATCAGAGGTCTGTGAAAATGTGTTTATTTATTACTTGTTTAATTAATTTATATCCAGTCTTTCTCCCAACAAGGGATCCAACAGGGCTTGAAATTTTCTGATTTGAATATAAAATAGTAAAGACATTGCCTCACCAGATCAGAATGTCACTGCAAAGTAGTATGTTAAAATTATCAGGACTAGACAGTTCAATTTAAATGGGTAAAACAAGAGGCCAATTTAAAAAATTGTAAAAAGGCATATGCAATTTAACCTTCATGGATTTGTTCTTATTTTTAAGCCTGTTTTGATAAAGCTCAATTTATTAAGCTAATAATTACCAGGAAAGCCCTATAAGGAGGAAGAAATGCTTCTGTTTGTGGTCCAGAAAGACCCAATCCCTGTGTCAACTGCTGTTAATGCCAATACACATTTGCAGCTTTGACTTTTGTGAATTTGATTATTTGCACATTTGATTAATATATTCTCTCTAGGAATCGCTATATCTTCCAGTGTGACTCTAGTAGAAATTAACCATAGAGCTGCACTGGAGAACCTAGAGATTACTAGAGAAAACACTTCTCTAGCCATTTGCAGGTCCTCCAGTGTCATTATATGGTCAACTTTCACCTGATGTTGACCACAATGTTGCACTGGAGGAACTAGAGATTCCTAGAGAGGTGGTTTCCTCAGGTATAAACAATAGCGGTGTTTTATTTGCAGTTTTTCCATTTTCACAAGGATCCTGCACTCCAAAACCCAGTGAATGTGGACAGCCCACTGTATATACTATAGGAATCTACATTGGCATGGTCAGCTCAAGACATTTTGCTATTAGAATAAACTGATGTTCCTCCTCCATTTCATACAGGGAAGCTGGCTAGAGGGCCAGACTGACTGGACTGAATCTTAGTCACGGGATCATGGGATAGTATCCTCCTGAAGGCAGCAGGCTGTCACAATGAGTGCAATATAAGCTGTGTGCCATTTGCCAAGCTTTCACTTTGAAATGAATGAAATGGCAGGGAGATTCAGAAGGGAGATTCAGAAGACAAAGGGCTACCACTGCTGACTTTGCTCTCTGAGGCAGCTGCTTTACTCAACCAACTGCTAAGGCTAGCCCTGAACTTTGATAGTACAACAATGGTGAAAACAGAAAGAATACTACCAGATCTTCACACACTAGCTGACAGTGCTCCACAAAAGGAGTACCTTCTTAATGCTATTGTGGTTAAAGGAAAAAATATTTTCTAGAAGCATCTTGAAAGATCCAATAAATAAAATGGTATCCAATTGATTTTGTATCCACTGTCAGGGATCAAAAGTATATTTATCTATACATGGAACTTTTTTCTTTCATTTAAAGAATATATTCCCCAGAATAATCAATGAAAGAAGAAAGGAGTATGTACCTAACTACTGTTCTCAGTTTCAGGTGTTACTAAATCATACTAAAAGGTTTGCAGCAAAAACAGAAAACAAAACAAAACAAAACAAAACAAAAAAACAAAAACAAAAACAAAAAAGCAAAAACAAAAAAATGTTGCCATGTCAAAGCAATACACGAATGAGAGTAAATGTAATAGCAAGTAGAAGGAATCATTTTCAAAAAGTGACAGCAGGGACCTAGAAACTGTGGTGCATGCTCTGGTAGCCTCTCGTCTCGATTTCTGTAATGCGCTTTACATGGGGCTACCCTTGTGCTTGGTCTGGAAACTCCAATTAGTACAGAATATGTACTGGCCAGGCTGGTCTCAGGAACATCGAAAAGAGACCACATAATGCCAGTTTTAAAATCTCTTCACTGGCTGCCCATTAGTTTCCAGGCACAGTACAAGGTGTTGGTGATCACCTTTAAAGCTCTAAATGGCTGGGGTCCAACCTATCTTTGGGACCACCTCCACCCGTATAATCTCCCCGCACACTCAGGTCCTCTGGGAGGAATTTGCTGCAGCCGATAAAAACTAGGCTGTCAGCAACCGCCCAGAGGGCCTTCTCTGCAACCATTCCCAAATTATGGAATGGCCTGCCAGATGAGATCTGTCATATCACCAACTTAACTAGCTTTAAAAAAGCTGTTAAGACAGATATCTTCCAGCAGACCTTTCCTGAATAATTATCCCAGCCTCAAGAATCAGTCCATCTCTCCCCCGCTATTGTTGTTGTTATTGCTGCCACAACAATTGTGTTTTTTGTTTTATTGTGTATATTTTAATAGCTTGATTGTTTAATATTATTTTAAGAGGTGGGTGGGTTTATGGGTTTTTTATTGTATTTCTATTGGATTTTTAAAGTTGTAAGCCACTCTGGTTGCATTCGCAGAGGGGCAGGATAGAAATAATAATAATAATAATAATAATAATAATAATAATAGCAAATTCTTCAAGAAGAATTTATTTCTGCAAGCTGTATCCCTATCATTAATTTGATTTAAAAGTTGTAAAGCCCTCTAGTGGAATTAAAGTATCTTACAACTTCGACAACTACTCTTAGTATGTTCAGAGGGTGATTGTTTTAGTAGCAATTGATTTCTTCTTGATCCTGCATATGAAATTTAATTACACTTGGATGGGCTTCCAATACTAGATATTCCCATCTAGGGTCTCTGCTAACTTCAAGAGACATCAGAATTCCAAAATGCTCTCTAATCTCTGATTCCACATGATTGAAGAGTGGATATGGGGGAATAGGGTAGATCCCCCCACTTCCCAATGGAAAACTGTTATTGCTTGTGGGTTAGGTAAACTGCCAGTGAGATTTATATTTTTCGAGATTGCAAATAAAGGTAGATGCTGAAACACTTATGAATGAAGTTAAAATTCTCCCACTTCCCAATTCTGAAAACTGACAGTTCTTTAGAAACACGTCTCCAGTGTGCTCTCTCTGCTTGAAGCTGACTGTACTTCACATCTCTTGGATTTAGCAAATTCAGGAATACAAGTTCCTGATAATATAAAAGTCCCCCAAGCCTCAAATCTTAGAGGTCAGCACCCCCCTACACCAAGAATCATGGTTGGAAACACACTGAGAAGCACCCTCTTCTCCTGTTGATAAGATCATATCTTGGCAATATTCTTGAGTTTTACACTTGCCAACGTCTGATATTTGACAGAAACTGGGATTTTCAACTGACTGGGTTGCAGACAGGGACAGCAGGCCTATGCCTTTTAGACTCTTGCTCTGTGCAAACAGAGCAGCTTGTTCTGTACATATTAAACAGTGTTTTCACAGCATGAGATAAACATTACCATCTAATAATGTCTGCACATCAAGCTTATGTTAACAGAAGACTGATAACAAAGTTGACAATTGTAAGGATTTTTGTCTTTATACCCAATCTTGTTTGGGCATAGAGTGGATAAGGGAAGGCAGATTTCATGTTCTGCCTCTGTCTGGGCACTACAT